TTGACGTGAAGCTAACAACCGCACCCTCAGGGAGAAAACAATATCACCGACAGTGAAACTTCAAAGATTAATAGGCCAAAATATATATTCCATATTTTTATTTTGCGTTGAACTTTCTTTAACAGATCGATTGATTTTGAGGTGTAGGTTAGCTAGCCTGACGCCCAGCCCTCCCTATTTACCAGGGGGTGGGACCGGCTACTAAACTAGTCTTGGTTTCTCAAAAACTTTGGAATGGCCTTCGAAAGAGTTGACCAAGAATTGATTTCGTAACTGCTTCAACACTGTGGCGTGCAGTACCCCAAGTCTTTATAATTCTTTTTCAGCAGCTGGCTATTTGACAATGCCACGTGTCAGGTGATCCCCAGCAGGAAACTAAGCCAGGCGTTCGAAGTGAATACAGGAGTAAGATAAGGCTGGCAGTCTATCATCACCCATGATATTCCTAATTGTCGTGGACTAGGTTATACGGAAGAGCGCTCGCGGGGAGCGAGAAGACAGGAATATGCTTGACCACCGATAAGAAGATTCTATAAGATCCGGATTTCGCAGATGATATATGTCTAATGTCAAACAAACTCAAAGACCACAAGGGCAAAAGCAACAGACTGGCAGAAGAAGCAGCCAGAGAAGACAGCACTCCAAGTGAACACAGAGACAACGGAGGTGATGAAGATAACCATCCAACCAACAGCAACAGCAACAACAACCAGCACCAATCACTGTCAACTGTAGCAGCTTGACAGACATTAATCCCTCCATTTATCCTGCCAGGGCACACGGTTTCAACCACAGACCGACAGATCAGACGAAGATGTCAAAGCCAGCCTTCATCAATCTGAAACCAGTTTGCAAATCTTATTATTCACTCAGCCAGCATAGACAACAAGATTCGGATTCTATTCAACACAAATGAGAAGTCAGTCAGTCAGTTCTCCTATACGGGTCAGAAACTTGCAATGCGTGTGTGTCACGAAAAGGATTTCCAACAGCCTGTTGCAGACTTTTATCAACAGTTGCCACCTTCGCTAGCTGGCTCCATTTTGAAGATCAAATGGTCAGGTGATCGGTCAGAAAGAATTAGCAAGAAGTAATTCTAGCTGGGAACAAACCAATCAACTAAAAGCTGGTTGCTCAACACATATGTAGGAGAAAATGGAGATGGATTGATAGGGCATACATCACTGAGGAGACCGTCGAATTACATGGTGCTCAATGCAGGCCATTGTTCTTGTGGAATCCGGATGGGAAGCGTCGAGTGGATCGTCAGTGCGAGGGTGACATAGAGTAGGTGAGGGACTGTGGGCATTCGTGGTGCCAGCCAGATGGAGAGGACAGCAGACAATAGGAGAAAGTGGAGATGTGTTGTTGAAGGCCTCTGTTCCACTTGGAACCCAAGGAAATAATAATAAAAATAATATATCTCATTGGAAGGCAGGGAAATGTGGAAAAATATGGCATCCTAATTCCGTATAAAAAATGAAGTGACCAAAATTATTTGAACATTTATTCTGTTGTAGCGCAAAAAGTTGTTGAATTTTACGTTTAAAATATCCATTTACAAACACTATATGCACCTTGTTTTAATTCTAAACAAGGAAATCTAATCGATGTTTCTCAAAATAAGTTACCATAACAACAACAAGAACAACATTCACGAGGTATATTATGAAATCTCTCCTTTTACTATTTGAAGTATTACATTCTCGAGTATTTTAAACAAACATACAAACAAAACAAAACAAATATCATGTCCAATATTAAAGGAAGCTGGTAACAAGTTGACTTTCTAAAGTTACATCTCAAATAACACTTCATTGTGTCCAGTAAAAATGTTTACTGGACGAAAATAGGTAAATAACTATAAAGGCATGAACGAATTAGATAAGGATTATTTGTTATATATATATATATATATATATCGATTTTTGGATTCTCGTCATGAAACAAGCCACCCAGCATGTTGTACACAATGTGAACTTGACTGATAGAATTCAGTCTGCACCAAAGATAGGACTAGAGACATTACTCTGGTTACTGACTGGTGTCCATTCGAAAATGAACCAACATCTGTTAGAGAAGTAATTGAGAACCAAGAAGTATTAGACAGCTGTTTCATCTGTCTGCCTCTGTCTGGTTTCAACATAGAACATTGCACCGATGTGCAGCAGTTCCAGTCGCCACACTTCACTCAGAACACAAAGCCAGAGAAGAAAGTAAAAACAAATGCAAAACAGAGACAGTAAACAGAGATGTGAGGCAAAAAGAATAGTAATATCGAAGAACAATATAGTTTTATTGGATATTATAAATTACAGAGAGTGAATACATCTGCGCTGGCCATCAATGAGAACGATTTTGAACAATATCACCAATTGTCTCCAGCCATTGGTTTTTACCATCCCAAGTACCCCAAACAACCAGTTAGGAAGTCTACACCTTCTTACTTGGCTGGTTGGCTTAAACTAAATGTTGTGGGTTTCATTGACAGGTGCCACCATGTTTTGGTTTGACCACCACTGGCTCTTTTCCAGTCTGACCCTACGTCAGCGAACATTCCCCGTTGAGGAAGACAATGGCTAGGCATGTGTAGCATATGTCTTAACCATCTCAGTCGATGTAATTTCACAGCCTCGTCGATTGATTTCCCCTCCCACCTACCTAGCACTCGACCGATGCCTAACCAGCTCAGTATTGCTCACCCTATTATACTATTTCACACGGGAGATAGAACGCAGGCACCTATGATCAAGGATCCCTGTTTCATCCTATTAAAGGACGCTTCGGCAGTTCGCACCCATGACACCACCTACCAGGGATCGAACCCATGACCTTTCGATTAGGAGACTAAGCTCGCTGACCAATCAGTCACTTGGGCTGGAATTCAATAATTCGTGAATACCAACTTTTAGTCACTACAAGTAGATCACTGTAAATGTCATATGACTGATATCAGTAAGAGAACCATTGAAAACCAGGGAGTGCTGGACAACTGTTTCCGTAGTTAAACTCCAGAAACGAACCTAATCCTTACAAATCAACTCTTGAAAATACTAACTTTATCAACTCGTCAATATAATTAACCCAAGATTTCTACAAACCCTATAATCTGAACAGCAGTCGCTAGCCTACTGATAACTACTAGGTGAATGTTCTAAAGCTGAAGTGCGAAGTCGTAACCAGTTGGATCCATCATGTCAAGGCACTATGCTCATAAAAAGCATATTATAAGTTAACAAGTATAGAGTTCACAGATCACTGAATTCCAGCTCAAGTTGCCTATTGGTTAACGAGTTTAGTCTCGTCATCTTAAGAAGGTGTCGGGTTCGATCTCGGACTGAGTCAAGGGGGGGGAAATGCTGAAGATTGTCAAAACGGCATAAAGCGGCTGTCCAGTGCTGCCTGATCTTCAATTATCTCTCTAACTGCTGTTTGTCCATAACGTAAATCCAACTACTACTACTAACTAGTGTCCAATCAAAATGTATCCAGTACAATCCAACAGGAGGTCAATCGCGAGCCCGAATAACTAGCTCAATGGTAACATCTCTGACTGCAGCACACTGAGTGGCGCGGGTTCGAATCTCAGAAGGAGGGACAAGAGTAGTTCCTTCAAGGTTTGAAGATACGCTTTGGTTACTGACTGACTGGTGAGTGCTGACAAGCACAAAACCTTGGTTCGACAAGGCTTCCTGACGATTTCCTCCCACCGTCTCATATCAACAATTCACAATGCACCGTGGTGGTATGGTGGCCACATAGCAAACTAGACTGATAGAATTCAGTCTGCACCAAACGAACGACTACACATACGCACACACATTACTCTAGTTACTGACTAGTGTTCATTCGAAAATGAACCAACATCAGTCAGAGAAGTGATTGAGAACCAACCAAGGAGTATTGGATAGCTGTTTCATCCTTTTAGGGGACGCTTCAGCATTCCGTAGTCACGACCTCAGCCACCAGGGATTCAACCCGGGGTCTTCAGATTACGAGACCAAGCCAACTTATCGAAATTTTGCTGGGTTTTTGTGCTCCGTTAGTCCAACTGATCCCGTTCTACTACTTTGACCTATGTGTTACTTGACCTGACAATCAATCCAGCAGAGTACTGGATAACCTAATTTTTTTGTTTCAAAAGCTCCACAGGATTGATGCTTTAACTGACAAAGCTTATTTCTAATTGAGATTATGGGTTTGAATGCCAACCACTTTTATATTCCTGCATTGTTAAAAATTCCGCGTAAGGTTCCCGAGGTTCCTTCGTTTTATGGGAGGAAGTACTACTGATAATTTACTTATATTCCCTGTTGTTGGTGTTGTCATTATCCTGAGCATGTTTGACAGGCAGGTCATCATTAATATTACTATCATTATTATTATCCTTATCACTACTATCATTATTTATTTTATATTGACATTTTCCTTCCTACTTCCTGATTAATTTATCAGGGTAACTATTAATTAAGTTTCAAAGCTTCTCTTATATACCTCACTTCCCATCTTAGATTTTCCTTGTTAATACTTAGTTTTTGTGTCCTATTACTTAAACATTTCACCAAGAGTGGAGGGAGCAGGATTGATAACAGAAGCTTTGTTTACCGAATCAACTCCAAACACGTGCAACAGAAATGATTCAACACTTGTCCAGTTGGACATCCGAAAAATTCTACTACCACGCCTACGACGACAAATATGAGAGAACAAAGAAAACTATAAAACTGAAGTTTTGAAGTTGTGTGATTATAATTGATGAAATGATTATGAACAGTAATAAATTGTGTTCGACATATCTAATAAACAAACTAATATGGAAGAGCTGATAGACACCAGTACTCAGATACCCAGACTGAGATAGACAGAATGGGACTCGAACCCAGGACTTGTTGGATCACACAATCACTTACAACTTACGACAGAAAACGAATTTGCAACAACAACAACAACATGAATAGTAATTAAATTTATCACAAAAAGCTATTATTATTATTACTATTAACAGGGTCAGCGCAAAAACCAATATACATATTCATAATCTCCACACACACAGAGGCAAAAAATAGAATTTTCTGAAAAAATATAACAAAATATTAAGACTGTTTGTTTGTTAATCACCCTATCAGTCAAATTGTATCGATATGTATTTCGTTTTTTATTTTTCATGTTTTCTTCTCTTTTCTTATCCATGCAACTTTTGTAACATTTGATCACGTATTGAAGAACTGCTATACAATGCTTTAATTAGACAGCGTAACTCTGACGCTGTGATACGTGACTCTGTAGACAATGGTCCTTTCCCATCCATCCATAAAACATCACGAATTATAGCCATTGATGAGGCTGACAGAACACTGATAACTCCCTGCAGGCGTTGATATTCAGGACAACGTCGATGAAGTCGTGCTGTATTGGAGCTCTATTATATAAATATACATATCAATAAAAAATTAGAGGTTGGAATTAATAATATTGATTAGAAAATATATTATATCTTATATTATTGTTATTATTATTATATAATAGAAACTGCGAGTTTGGACCACTTCAGTGCATGTTTACAAATCCTCTTGCTCCTGTGGAGCTAGTTATATTGTAACGACAGAAAACAAGGACCAGGCAACAGTAGGTTTATTGAGAAAATCAGGAGATATTTATAGATTTTTATGTACACGATTATTCGTTATTGTTAGCAGAGAAGTAAGGTCTCCTGATTGGTTGTTTTCTTGCTGAAGTCTATTCTGTATCGCCTGTGACAGTTTCTTAGAAAGTTAAGCCATATACCTGCGAATCGTATTTGCACACGTTAAGTCTACTGTGTGATTGGCTGGTGAGTTCCTCAATGTTAAGCCTTGTTATTGCATTTTTTCTCATGACCCCGATTCAAGACGTAATTATTGACGTCAATTGTTGTCTACAATTTTGTCTTGTAGACAGCTCCCACCACAATATTAGCCACACAAAGTTTATGCCTTCCAAAAGCACCTTGAAACAATATCCGGAATGGTTGGTTTTCAAGAGGACAATGCATGATATTAGCAAATGGTGAACTCACACCAAACACATACACACAGTTTCGCCAAAGTCGTTTTCTGCGATTATCTACACAGTGAGACCGAATGGTACAAGGAATGTTAGGTTTTGGCATTTGTTTATAGCGGAGGCTCTGGCGATTAGTCAGGGTTATAACCTCGAACTCTGTGTGAAGAGGTGGGTTTTTTTCCAGTGTCTTATTTCACCACCACAATAGAAACCACTTCCGATGAGTAATTCTATCGCAGTTATGTCACCAACCCCTTCCTTGTTGACTTTACTCATCAAGTGACTACTATTCCTTTTTTGGTTAAAATATAAATGCGATTGTACAGCCTGCGAAGTTGATTTCATCGATAAAGGAAATTTCCTTCGCTCAATTGTCGTTTATATTATAGCTGTTGACCCCACTAAGCAACACGAAAAATATAAAATACAGAATTCAATGTAACACGCAACTGACAGACTATATTTACTATTCCTAGAAGGAACTACCACGAAATGACAACAGTAAGGATTCACTCAGCTGATTATCTAAGAGAGAGAGAGGGAGAGAAATGGCAGCAAGGTTGTTGGTTGGCGAGTTCTAGTGTGACAAAGTTAGAACCATTATTATTATTATTTTTATTGAAGCACAAAGAGATGCGCCTCACTAAATCTCATTACTTTGTAGGAGACAGTTGGGATATGCTGCTCGGGCGACCAAATCGAAGCAGGCGGCTGTCGTCTTAAAGAACTATCCCTCTGAATCCCCAAGCCTTTGACTTGAAGTCTGGTCCGCAAAGCAGTGGAGCATGCATGATCAGGAGCTACGGTTCCCTGTGGTTGCCAGTCATCAAAATAGGTTTATACGCCCTTCGATTTTTTCGGGTTCTGGAGCTCATGTCCACTAGTCCGGTTGTAATCGCCGGAGGTTCGTGCTTGCCTTTTCAATTCTGTGAGGAATACTCCTCCTCGTGTAGACTTACTTAGCAGATGGTATAAACGCGTGGCTTCATGACAGCATTTTAAGAGGAAGACCGAAGTCTATCGCAGCACTCTCAGGAGTATCAGATCTCATTTATGGAAGTTCCAACTTTAGGATTTGGAACCAACTACATGAGGAGTAGAGATTTAGAGTTCGTTTAGACAAGGTAAGATAACAGACTCTCAAAAAGACAAAAATTTTATACGGACACTTGGTAAGTCCTATAATCCTGGGTTCGAACCCAGGTGGGCGAGTACTGATGAAGAGTTCCAAACGAGGACGAAACAGCTGTCCAGTAATCCCAGGTTTTCCAAAGGTTCTGTAATCGATGTCAGCTTATGATGAAGTCCTGTAACCAATCAATCAAATCCCTATAAAAACCAATACTTGAATAAGTGCAGTAGTGTTGGATGGCTGATTAATCGATAAAAGAGAAAATTCAGAACTTTATCCACTATTATGTCATCGAATGCTGGAGAGTTACTTTAATAGACCCCCCCCCCCCACATTTATGAGTTAAGTAAGAAACAGAATTTTCATGCATGAGACAATGAGTCACACTCGTTTATTGTGTTAGGAATGCGGATATTCCCTTAGATTGGCAAGCTATAAAGTAGATTTGGTGGGATTTGAACACAGTCCCACACAATTGAAAACTAAACCAATTGTTTTTAGGAAATTCCATATGCACGCCTCTGTCTACCACCACGAGTCACAGTTTCTAACAAACAACACCGTCAGGTCAAATGTTCATCATTGCTTTTGTCTCACTATAACAGGAATAGTATTTAATAATACAATAATAATCACTTTATTCCAAAAAGCAATAACACATTATGCGAAATGGAATTTCCAGTGTGTTTTTTTCATACATATTGCAACAATTTAGCTCCTTTTATAAATATGTAAGTACATAAAATTTGGAAAAATAATAATAATAAAACCACAAAAAATTTGAATGTTGGTGAAAACATAATTGGTGGATGGTGACTAGTAGTGGAATCCAGGATGCGCATTTCGTCCTATTTGGGACTCGTCAGCCAGTGGATGCACCTGCATTCCCCAGTGCTTGGTGATGTTCCCACCGAGGCTCAAACCCAATGCCCATAGTTTCCAACGCCATTAGACCACTTCGGCCACGAGAGCCACTGTCTCTTGTGCAACGGGTCACATTAATTATTCAATTGAATTTTAGATTTTCCCGTCGACTGATTGGACCGAAGTGCTCGGTCTCAGGTTGACATGTTGGCCTCTCCTTGTGCGCAGATGCTTCGACGATGTGTGTGTGCCTGTGACTCGGGTAACTGACATAATTGTCAATAGGCATTTAAATTCTTGCAGGCATTTGGCTGGAGTTATCTTGTCTGATACTGAACATCCTCTCCTTGTATCTCTTCCGGGGGGTGAAACCAGAAGAAACTTCATAAGAAGCATTTATGCTCGTATGGCTACCAAATATAAAAATTCTTCCATACCACCATATTTAGCACGGGTTTGTGTGTGAAGAGAAGAGGGAGTCAGATGTCAGAAAACAACTTGTACACTTTTTAAATCAACCAGTAATCTGAACTGCAAAGTATAAGCAAAGATTATTATTATTATTACATGTATTATCTATTTATAACTCATTATTTTAATTGAATTTTTTTAGCTTTACCCGTCGATTGACTGGACCGAAGTGCTCAGTCTCAGGATGACATGTCGGCGTCTCCCTGTGCAGATGCTTCGACGATGTCTGGGAATTTAATTCGAATTCAATTGGTAGATTCCACTGCTAGTCACCATCCACCAATTGAATTCGAATTAAATTCCCAGACATCGTCGAAGCATCTGCACAGGGAGACGCCGACATGTCAACCTGAGACTGAGCACTTCGGTCCAGTCAATCGACGGGTAAAGCTAAAAAATTCAATTAACATAATGAGTTATAGATAGATAATACATGTAATAATAATAATAATAATAATAATAATAATTATAATAATCGTTATTCACTACACCACTTCGGCCACGAGAACCACTGTCTCTTGTGCAACGGGTCATATTAATTACTCAGTTGAATTTTAGATTTTCCTGTCGATTGATTGGACCGAAGTGTTCGGTCTCAGGTTGACATGTCTAGTGGATAACGCTTTGACGTTTGAAACTATGGGCACTGGGTTCAAACCTCGGTGGGAACATCATCAAGCACTGGGGAATGCAGGTGCATCCACTGGCTGACGAGTCCCAAATAGGACGAAATGTACATCCTGGATTTACTATCCACCAATTCAATTCGAATTAAATTCCCAGACATCGTCGAAGCATCTGTGCACAAGGAGATGCCGACATGTCAACCTGAGACCAAGCACTTCGGTCCAATCAATCGACAAGAGAATCTAAAATTCAATTAAATAAGTGTACTAGTTAGTTTCTTTTTCAATGAAATTTGTTTTTCTCTTCTATGATCGATCGTATTTGATGAAATATGCGTATGTTACATAGCTATCAACACATACTCGCCTTCATTCATTCACTCACATTCTCTCTTCCTTTCGATGAGGATAAATTTGACAGCAGAAAGGGAAATTAGATGTGTAAATATCATACGTGCCCTCGTTTAAGGGTAATCATATGTAAATTAACAATTTAGAAGAAACACACGCACACACACACAGACAAATGCGTACATCCACAAAAAGGCATGTTTGAATAAAAACAGGATACATCTACAGTCGACCTTTTAAGGACACCATTTCGATTATTATTATATAATGTGAAGGAATTTACACCTCTTTTATTATTCTAGGCAGCAGAGTTTCGATTGCGGGGGATGGCAGCACGAATGAGTGTATGTTACAGTCAGCCAGTCAGCCAGAATCGGAAAGGCGGGAATCGACTGCACTGCTCAGCGCAGATAACAACACTCAGATTTTCACCACATTTATGTCAAGCTGCCCAGCTACTTGCTTCTCTCTGGTCACAGAAATCATTTCTAACTTGGCTACTGAAGACCTTTTAGCGACACCGTCCTGCTCCGGGTTCCATTCTGAAGGTCAGATGACCGACCGCCAAAGAGTAAACTATAAGGAACTCTGGCAAACGAGCCAATCAAAAACCTATCGTGCCCAGTAAAAATGCACTAAGTGGTCATTACACGCCAAGGCAAGCAAGCTTTCGGTAGAAATCGTCGTCAACGGAAACGACGAGTTGGGTGTTGTGTTCAAATGTGACTGACTCTATAAGGGACCAGTGAGGTCCAATTAGATGTCACGTGTATAGATGAATGTCCCACCAACGGCAATGGTTGGAGTCGCGCTAAATCACGAATCGGTAGAAGTTAGAATTCATGGGCTGGCCATTGAATCGGGTCCCAGTGGCTGAATGGTATACGAGCTCGCTGGCCTTGTAACCGGAAGGTCCTGGGTTCGAATCCCAGT